TATGCAACTTCAGGTTAAAATACTTGTCACATCCCCATTTCTAAACAGACCCTCCCCTCAGGGTCTAAGTACACAAACTAGCTTCACCTGGAACATGTTATCATCTCGGCTGCTGCTGCTCTGCTTGGACGACGACAGGGCTCTGGAAGTCTCCCCCGTCTTCTGCTTCTTAACAGGCTTTTCTGGAGCAACCTGCTTTTTCCTCTTCAGCTTTGGGAGTGGGGGGGATATGGTTAAAATTCACACCGAAAATAATAAAACATTTCCAGGTTCAAAAGTTTCCGTTACTTTTTGTGAATTAAATTATACTCATGTATTCACAGGGGAAAAAAGGGTCACATCCCACTTGACGATCTAACTCAAATCTAAAACGATGGTTTCCGATTGTATTCTCAGCAGTACAAAAGATGTATCAGGCACTAGGGGTGGCAATAACAGGACAAAGAGGAAATTTTAAGGAGATAAAGGGGGAGACTGGCTAAGATTTCTTAGGAGGGAAAAAAGGAATGGGGGTGGGTGGGAGGAGAACCATGCTGCCACTTTTGGAAACCACAGGTCTACTTAGACTAGTCACTGTTTTTGTATTTACTAAGGAAGTATATTCATTAGGCAGAAGCAACCAACTTACTCCATTTTAGTATATCAACGGCTATTTATGATTTATGCCGTCTCATTCCAAAAGAGGAGCCCTGATGACACAGTGGCTACGATTGAGCTGCTAACCACGAGATAAAGACAAGGTTTGAGTAGAGTTAGTCTTGGAAACCACTGGGGCTGCTCTACCCTGCACTGTCGGGTTGCTATGAGGAGGAATCAACTTGATGGCAATGATGAGCTATTACAAAATAGATTAAAGTTAGCTTATTGAAAGTATGGGTGGCATTTTTTGCTGGGCACTGAATGTCCATCTATAACTCGGGCACTTCCTCATCACAAAGAAATTACTAGAAGGAAAATATTTGGTTAGCATGCAAATTCACAATGTTTTAAAAGAAGTATTGTTAAAGGCTTATTAAAAACATATTTCTCAAAATTGGCTACCAACCCTATCGTTAGCATTCCCATCGTCAGGGGCAGTGAATTAATTATTTAATGTGGTTCTTCTAGCCAAAGTCTTCAACTCCCACCAAACCACCTTTGCCTACATGGGACTGGTAGGGTGGCATAAGATCCTGACAGAATTCACCTGTAAGAAAATGCACACAGGAATTCTCTGGCATGCCCTCCTGCTGTGCACCAAATGAGCCGTCTGAAAATCATGAGGAGGGATCTCATTACCAGCAAGAGCCAGGAGTTAGTGTATCCTCTGGGCCTGACATGCCTGCAGTGAACCTCCTGGACCCAGAAGACAGCTACACCATCAGAACCAGAAGCCAGAGCATGAAACAGACACGGAACAGCCCACGGAGCACGCCAAGTGCGTTTGTGCAGGCTACCTTGTGGGGTGGTGTATCTCTGGGCACTTAATTAAGGGAGCTGAGCTTACTGGCCCATAGGAGCTTAAACTGAATGCCTTCTGGCCGAGTAGTATGCCCTTTGCACAATTAAGAGACTTGACAGAACTCTGTAACATGTCCTGATAAACAACTCAACCCTGAGCATTTCTCACTGGCAATACAACTTATTTCCCTTTTTTGGTTTGTTGTTTGTTATTACCTTAAAAAAACCCTTTGATCATGAATTCTGTGTAGTTATCACAATGGGTATTAGAACCCAGAAAGGTAAAGTAGCAAACACTATTACAAACTCACCATCCCAAGCAGTAGAGGGCAGTCATGTTCCTTCTCAGAGGAAAGGTATAAACTAATTCTACTTTACTCACCAAATTAGATGCAGGCAAGAACTTTAACTTCACACAATTAAAACCTTTATTTGGATACCCAGGAGCCCTGCCTGGATGGCAACATGGTTAAAGTACTAGGGTGCCACTAAGGTCAGTGGTGGGAACCCAATAGCCTTGAAAGGTGTTTACCCCCATAAAAATGTATATAGCCTTGGACACCCTAGAGGGCAGTTGTACTGCCCTACAATGTTGCTCTGAGTCCAAATCGACTTGAATGCAGTAGGTATGGGGTTGAGAGCAAACAGCAAAAATCAACTTGGGTTAGTAAGCCATTAGCCAGTGGACCATGGATGGTACACAAGAAGCTCAATGAAAATCAGTGAACATATCCAAAACTGCTGCACTGGGCAGAAGTTTTAAAACTGAAAAGCAATTTCCTCCTCAAATATTGCTATCTATGACCTCTGAAGGCTGATTCAGCTTCCCAGCTGATAAGACATTCTGTGCTTCTATATTCAGGACCAACTTCTCTAATACACCCCACCATAAGCTCATGTTCTCTCATTTGAGCAAGCAGTGAACGGAGCTCAGACAGCTGTTGGCAGCTTAGCTAGACACTAAAGCACAATTCTGGATAGAAAGCAGCCCTGGCAGCAGTGAGATGCTGACAGAAACCTTGTGCTACAGAATACACCAAGCTCTCAGCAGAGCTGTCAGCCGATACAGAAAAACTGAGTGGGGCTAATCAGCTCGTGTTAGCTTTACTGGGTGTTAAGATCAGTGGACCTTCAAATGATGATCAATACCAGTGATAGAAAAGATGGTGGTGAAAACGGACATCTACATTCAAGATATCCCAGGTAACTAGCCTCAATTTAGTCAGATGTAAATAGTGGCTTTAGTCTAATTCTTATTCCTTTAGGATCTAGGGCAACCAACTTTAGCTTTCCTGAGACTCCCTCGGGAGCTTGTTCAAATGTGCTCTCCAGCCTGACTGGGGCCCAGTGTGGCTGTGCTACAGGCATTCTCTACACATTTCTGGTCACGTGTTCCAGATGCCATCCACTTCGGGGTCTACCCCTCCAGGTTCTCTTCTGAATGCCCTTTCCTACCCTTGCAGAGTTGGAATGTGAGCAAACTGTATCACTGGATTCAGTGGTGTAGTAAATACTCACCTTTTTGTCGACTTCACTATCAGAATCACTGCCAGATGAGCTTGAAGAAACAAGTTCCTTTGACTTAGGCATTCTGAAAGAAAATTATGCAAACATGACTGACGAGTTGTTTGATTGCCTTCACCTTACTCTCTCCCAAACAGACAACCAAGGACACGTAGTAATGCGAGTGGTTTCATTCGACCATGTTGTGGCACTGCACTTGTCACCCCGGCACAGATGCTGACGCTTCCCGTCTCTGCTCTTCTGCATTGAAAAGAACCAACAGAGCGAAATGTCCCAAACCCGGCAAGGAGAAAGAACATCCCGCCCTGCTAACTCCCAGCAGCTCGGCCTTCCTCAAAGCCGATGGGTCTTTGTAAGAGTGCTTCATTTTGGGGGGGGGGGAATGCACACTTCACTACATTTTACACTGACTGTCTACTCAGGGCCATAATTAACACTTGAGGAAGCTCTATGAGAAAGGTCACCCCTGGTAGGTAGTGGGTTAATTAAATACAAGGTCAGCAGTTCAAACCTACCAGCCACCTGTGGGAGGAAGGCGTGATGCCTGCTTCTGTAAAGACCGAGACTGGAAACCTGGCGGTGCTGTTCTACTCACAGGCCTGCTAGGTTTGGCTTATGGGAAGGGCTCAATCTTTCCTCAAATTCTTACCACACCCCAGTTCCCCAAATGTCGGTCAGTTCTTTGCTTTGAAGCAGGGGTTCCTTGTGCCTCCATAGGTTTCAGAGAGAAAACCATCAGTAAGGCTAAATCCCAGATGTCAAGGAACTTCCACGCACATAGCACCTCTTTTCCAGGGCCTTTTAACAAGAGGGGGAAGCACTATTTACAGTCCTTGGCACCTTCCTCATCTGACTCACAAGGCTGGGTCCTATTCCTATTTGCACACCCTCGTGGACCTGAGAGATACAACACACACTCTGTAGCTGCTGGGTGAATAAAGAAAGACTTCCATTTCTTCTGGAATCATTCACACACTACCTAGCTCTCTAGGCTTTGTTAGCAGCGGGGGTTGAACAAATCCCACAACAGGAGCTCAACGTCAAAGGAAAAGGCCATCCCCAAACTGGCAAATAAATTCCAAATGTTCAATCCATGCCTGATAAGCGAGTAATTGCTTGAAGACAGAATACAGAGGGGTACAGCAAAGTGCTACATCATCTTTCATACTCGGCTTAACTGCTTCATTTTGCAACTCATTCCCAAAAATTCTTTTAATTCATGCTAGCTGACACAACTACCCACCCCCCAAAAAGGAGGGGAGGCGGGGAGAGGGGACTTAAGGTTACCAAACTCAGTATAACCCATTTTTCACTGCCAGTGAAAACTACCTGGGGGCCTAAAAAAAATTAAAACACCTCCCCACGAACCCAAATACGTCTGGTTCAAAACTAAAGTGGAAAATGGTATCTCCAGAGGGACTCCCAGAAATCCTGACAAAATACATTTTCACTTAGCGAGTCTTTACTGGTCTAACAACGGGGTGGGGGTGGGGGGGACGCATTCGGGCAAACGATACTGAAAGTACTAGTGCAGAATACATATACACAAAATGCAACTTTCATAAATGCACCTTGGGTCTTGGCTAATGGGGGTTAGAGATGACCAGGTGGGCAGAAGGTGGGAGCACGTGGGAGACCAGGGAGCCGGGAACCCGGGACGGGAGGGGTCGCCCTGGGCTGGTACCGCGCGGGCGGGCGGGAGGACGCAGGTTGGCCGGAGGGGGGTGGGGGGCGGCGAAAAGCGACGGAGACGGTGTGGGAAGAGGAGGGACTTGCTCCCAGCGCCATTTTCTTCTCTCGACGCGTCCCCTCCCCCCGCAGAACAG